CCACCCTCTGACCACGCTGCTCTCATCCAGGTATCTCCAGGGACAACTGGCATAAGCGCCGCAAGACCGGGGGCAAGAGGAAGCCCTACCACAAGAAGAGGAAGTATGAGTTGGGGCGACCTCCCGCCAACACTAAGGTGAGTGGTGTGGGGAGGGTGTTTTCAAACTCAGGTTGCTGGTCACGTGCTGTTGGAGGTTTAAATACCTCCTGTTTTGTGAGGGGTTGAGTTTCTGGTGCTGCTTCTTCAAGAGGTGGCACTTTCCCCCGTGCAGATGGAAAGCAGAGATAGGTTTTTGCGATGAGAGGCAATTGGAGTGATGAAACTTTCACCTTAGGCAGATGCATCAGACCGTTCTGGTCGTTTTCTGTGTCTGCCGGTGCTGGGGCTTGTCATAGTTACACTGACCACATTGCCTTGGAGAGACTGGGAATGTTCTGGGCTGCTGTGTGAGCTGTGCAGCGTTCCAGCACCAATGGCACCCTGGTGTTTGTTCCTGGCTGCAGATTGGCCCGCGCCGGATCCACACAGTGAGGGTTCGTGGTGGGAATAAGAAGTACCGAGCCCTTCGGTTGGATGTCGGCAACTTCTCCTGGGGGTCGGAATGTAAGTACACCCTGAACCTGGTGTGTGGAAGGGAGAGCTGTGCTGGTCTTCTGAACTCCTGCGGAGCAGGGGGCTGATGGTGCAAGCATGGATTTGTGGGCTGGCGTTGAGCATCCTGGAGCTTTGCAGTGCTGGCTCTGGAGCAGCATGCATAGTGATGATAACTTTGACCTTATGTGGCCTTGGGGGACTTGGATGTCTGCTAAGTTCACAGTGATGGGAGTGTCATAGTTACACTGAGTGGCATGCTTGTGTTACCTTTTATTGGGGTAGGGGGACTACAGAGGGGCAAAAAGCCTGAGTTCTTCATAAATGCAACTTTTGCTTATTCATGAACACGGTGACTGAACGTTAAATGATTCTGAGGCATCTTGTCATCTGCAAATTTATTTTCTCTCATTGCTTAGATATATTTGAGATGAGCTCCAGCAAGGCCTCCAGTCACGGTTTTTAATTCAGTGCCAGGCAAGCTGGGGGGGCAGTGGATGGGGTGGTGAGCGCGAGGTGGTTTGAAGGGTACGTGTGAGATGCTGTGGGCTGTGCTCTCAGTTGCCTGATCCCTGTAGGTCTGAATTCATGCTCTTCTTTTGAAAGGCTGCACTCGCAAGACCCGAATCATCGACGTGGTGTACAACGCTTCCAACAACGAGCTGGTGCGGACAAAGACCCTGGTGAAGAACTGCATTGTGCTCATCGACAGCACCCCGTACCGGCAGTGGTACGAGGCCCACTATGCTTTGCCCCTGGGACGCAAGAAGGGCGCCAAACTGGTACGTCTGGGACTGTCGTTTTGACTCCCTGCAGAGCAGAGTCTGCCTTGCCAGAGGCATTTCCTCATCCTGAAAGGACAGTGCCTGCTGGAATAGGGTTGGGTACCCGGCAGTGATGGCGTTGGTTATCTGGGCTGTGCTCCCATGGGTCCCCAGCACAAGTCTGGTTCTGTTAGTGAAGCTCTCTCTGAGGCATTGCACCCCTTTGTGCACAAGGACCTGCCTGTCGATCTCTCTGTCTTCTAATGATGATACTCTTGTCCAGTTCTGCTACTGAAGGGACAGCGATGACATTTTATGGTGCTGAGGAAGACTTTGCAGGTCGGGTTCTTGTAGTGGGGAGTGATTGCTTTGGTGAGGAGCTTATGGATTACTAACTGAACTTCAGTGTGTTTTTAAGTGTCTTGAAATTATCCAGAACCATAAATCTGTTAAAGATCCAAACCCCAGACTGCTAGAAGGTGCTTAGACCGCCATGTGTAGCATTCAGGTTTAGGTTGTCTCCTTGCATTAAAAACAAAGCTCTCTCATTTGAGTGCTGCGTGGTGCAGGAGCAGGGAAAGAGCTCATAACCTGTCTGCATGGACCTGAACCAGAGCCAGGTGCTCTCATTATGTGTGCAGAGGGACAGAGGGGTTTTTTGGAGGAGAATTAATTGACCAAGGAAGCCTTTGCAGTTCCATTTGCCTGAGAGCAGCCTTCCCTGGGGTACTGTGCTCTGTTGTCATCAGTGACTCTGGTTAGCAGCACGGCATTTCTTGGTCTCAAAAGTGAAACACAGCACCTGGTTCTTTGAGTTTAAAGTATTTATACCTCAGCCAGGTATGACTTGGGAAACAGTACAGTGCTGAGAATGCAAGGCTCTCCTTCATGTTAGTGAGAGCTACCCGTGCTAGTGTGGAAGGTGCCCATTTGTTTAACTCCTTATTTTGCTTATGGTCGTGTTTTTAGACCCCTGAAGAGGAGGAAATACTGAACAAGAAACGTTCAAAGAAGATCCAGAAAAAATATGATGAGCGAAAGAAGCATGCCAAGATAGCAAATATTCTTGAGGAGCAGTTCCAGCAAGGAAAGCTACTTGGTGAGTCTCTGGCAGCATTAATGTGGGAGGGGGTAAGGGAGTCAGGGCACAAACAGGATGGCAGAGCAAATCTTAATCTTGTTTTGGGATCATTTAAAGTTCAACTCACCGTGATACAAATAACTGCAGTGGAGTGTTCTCCATGTCTGCAGGAGTGTCTTCTGGGTCTTAAATGTAACTTGTTCTTTTGTCTTCTCCGGAGAGACCCCACTCGTGGCAGAGGGGGGAAATCTCCTTCTGGACCTTGAATTACTGCATGTCCCAACCAGGCTCCTGAAGTTGATTATTCCTGGTTGGCCTTTGTGAAAAAAATGGGGTCAAGACTTGCAAAATAAGCAAGTTGTCTGTCAGGAAAATGCCCTGCAGGCATCTGACAGCTTTGATGTTTCAAGCTCTGGCAAATAGTTGAGTGTTCTGAAGTCTTCTGGTGATGAAACCTTTGTCCAGTTCTGCTGCTGAACCTGAGCGATGACAGTTTGGAGATCTGAGGAGGACTTCACTAGGGATCTGCAGCAGGGCGGGTTCCAGAGCACGGTACCTCAGCAGAGGGGCTGAAGCTGGCACATAACCTGCTGACTGGTTACTGATGAGTTGCTCATGCGTGCTGTTGCAGAGGCTGTGCAGTGTCTGTTCATTCCTGTGTGCACTGGGGGGTGAGTTGCTAAACGTTAACTGCATGACTTCTCCTTGCAGCCTGCATTGCCTCCAGACCTGGACAGTGTGGCCGAGCCGATGGCTACGTGTTGGAAGGCAAGGAATTGGAGTTCTACCTGAGGAAGATCAAGGCCAGAAAAGGCAAATGAATAAAAACTGTTTATTCACAGTCAAACTGTGCTGAGAGGATGAATAAAACCAAGAGTTTACTACAGTTAAAGGTTGTGTGCTCATTTATGTGTACAGAGTGGAAAGGGCTTGCGTGGCTCTGCCCGCCAGTAAAATGTGAAAGAAGATGGATCTCTCGTAATCCCTGAGTACTTCAGTGTCTTCAGACAAAACTTGACCCTGTATGCTCTCGACTAAAACATCTCCCTAGTCCTAGGGCAGTGACTCACAGGACCAGGTGGGTGTGGAAAAGAGTTTTCAGACTTGGCTGAAATGGAGGTTGTCCAATACTGGAAACCAGTGGGCAGGAGGAAGGTGGAGTGCCCACCCCCCAACTACAAATTCTGGCTTCCTGGGAGCTCTAACTCCTTCCTCTACTTTCCCCATGGGATGTGCCCCCATCCCCTCGTTTGGGCCAGCAGCCTCTTTTGCTGTTGTGTGGTGTTTTCCTGCCTGGTTGTACAATTGCCTGCAGGATCCAGTATCTTTTGACCAAATTCAGCTGCACTACTCAGTGACCAGCTGGCCTTTCCCTGGCCTCCTTGGTCTCATTCCAGTGCAAGATCAATTCCTTCTAGCAGAAGGGCCAGGCTCACATCATGGTCTGTCCCTTTCGAAAGCTGGATACAAACTCCAGTGTTCTGCCCCGTTGCTTGGGGTAGAATTGGAAAGCTGTGGTGAACAAAAGCTTTTCTGGGTGTTTTGGTCAGGTGATGGCGATTCCTTGGGGCTGCTGTCCTTCAGGAAAGCCAGCACCATGGATCTCTGCAAGTAGTTGGGGAGTGCTTTGTGCAGGTGTTGGAGTGAAGTCAGGAGCCCATCTGAGGGCTGGTCCTGTGCCGTGGGGCAGGCCAGGCTCACACACCTTGTGCCTGCCAGGTGGACACATCACACTGCACCCCATCTCTGTATCTTTACAAAAGCCTTGGTTATCCATAGGATCACTCTGGTGTGAGTCAGCCTGCCTGCAGCCCCCGCCTCGTGATTTTTGGCTGTGAACTGAAGGAGGTGGCTCGTGATCACCCTGCCCCAACCACAGCTGTGGTGTCAGACCCTAGTCTCTAGTGCCTTAAAATGCAACTGTCCCATAAATAGCTTGGGTTTGGGGTTTTTTTGAAGTTTTTTGCTGTAATGCTGTGCCCCGGCTGCTGTGTGTGACAGCAGGAGGTGCTAGTGGGCTCGGATGACCTGGGCAGTGTGGGTTCATCCTGCCCTGTCAGGGAGCTTGAGGATGAGTCTGTGGGACAGATCTAGGGACAGACCAACCACACTGGGGAGTTGCACTTGTTCCCGTGGCCGCAGCAGCACATTGTGGTGTGGTGTGTGTTGGCACCGCCTCGCAGGCTGTGTGTGTGCTCGTGGGCACTGTGTGCCCAGCTTGGTGCCACTGGCTGTGCTTTAGGAGTCCCTGGCAGTGGGACCTGGGCTGGGCGGGATGTTTGCACAAGCACATTCCTTCTCCATAGTAATCCAGCGTAAACTTTCCCTGCTCTCCAGCAACGCCTGCTTTGCAGAGAGGTGGAGTGGAGGCGATAAGGGCACTTGGCAGGGATGCGTCATGGCTGCTTCCTCTGAGCGTGTTTCTTCTCTCTCCTCCACAGAGTACAAACAGCATTCAGGGTGTTTCTGGGGGACTTTGTACAGATGGAGAAACTGAGGCTCACAGATCAAATGCCAGCTTGGTATGAGAGCAGGAGCTGTAATCCTGGCCCCTGATGAGTAGGATTATGGCTCATCAATGCACACAATGCTTACGAAGGTACTGCCGTGAGAAACAGCTGCCAAGGGCAACCGCCCATGGGAATAAAAGCGGCACTTGTGGCCCGCCGGAGGTGTGGCATGGAAACAGGATGGTGGCAGCTGGATCCCAAGGTGGCACAGGCTGTGGGACTTCGTATGGCTTGGCTGTGGGATGCGTGGCTTTTGGTCTGGCCTTGGCACAGCCCCGTGGATGGCACAGGGATTGATCTGCCTGGAAGGGGGCAAACCTGCCATGCGCTGAGCCAGGAAGGGATGGGCAGGGGCTGGGGTTAAGCACAGCTTTAGCCTGGCTAGACTTAGGAGGTGCCAAAGCCTGGGCTAAGGACCTTACCTGCTTCTACAGATAGGTGCAGGGTCTGAATTTTAAAAAGCTACTTTCATAGGATGAGCAGCTGGCAACATAACCCACGTGAGGTCACTTGTCCTGTGTCCTGCTCCTTGCTGTTGAGTGGCTCTCTTAGCTCCATGCAGTATTAACTTTGGGATATTTTCACAGGACATAGTCCAGCCCAGAAAATGACGTTGCACTTTAACACGTTCAGCAGTGACCTGGAGAGGAGGCAGGGCTTGTTTATTGGGGGAATTTGAGAGCTTTAAGGGAAGAGGGGCTTTCAGGAAAGGGAACTTTTCAACTAATATTCTTAGGGGGAAAAACACAAATCTGAGTGCAAGAATCCTACAAGGGCCGGAAACACATTCCTGGATTTTTTTCCTGGCCGTATCACCTGGTCTAATACCTCACAACCATCAGTGGTGTTGGTCCTTGGGCTGTGCCCTTTTTGCCCCAGAAGAATGTGTGGACCCTTTAACAAAATCTAAATTTACCCACTTTTTGGATAAATGTAATGTAATGTCCCTGCTGTCTCACTGAGCATGGTGTACAGCACCATGAAGGCAATAAACCTGTAGAGCAGCTTGTAGATGCTGCTTTTTCAGAGGAAGAGCAGCTTGGAGAAACCTCCAAAGTGGGAGTTGGTGACTTTCAGTGTTTAGGAAATAGTCATCATGGCTCAGCCCTGCACCTTGGTGGAAGAGCCCTTATTACTGGTTGAGGAGAATGAGGGTCCAGCCACCATCCAGGCTGTGGGGCCTGGGGACATAGACTCTCCCATGCCAAGCACTATGGCCCATCAGCAGGATTGCCCTGCCTCTCCCATGCCTGCTGCAGCCACTGCCTGCTCCCTGCCTGCACCCCCCATCCCACCAGTGCCTCTTCCCCATAATTAACCCCACACGGGCCTGTGCAGCTGAGCCCTCTCCATGATGAGCTGGGGCTGTTACAGGCAGGGAACAGGGAACTCCAGGTTGGTCACACTCCTCCCTGCCACTGGTCACAGAGATTTGTGTGGGGGCTGCAGGTGCTGGAGCTGGGGCTGGGCAAGACCCAGTGGGGTGGTTTGGGTTGATACCCTTTGCAGCCGTGGCAGCTGAATTTAGGCTTCATGAGAAGGAGGGGGAAGGACAGGGTATTGCATCACTCCCAGCAGCCTTGGGAATGGGACCCCGGGGTATGTGGGCAGAGGGGGCACCCAGGGTAGGATATTTCTGGAGCACAAGTGAAAAATGCGGCTGTCGCTGCCCAAATCCGAGTCTGAAGCTGTGGGCTGGGCTGCAGCCCCTGGGGACAGCTGCTGGCCCTGCCTGTCCTGCCTCTGCCCCAGGGCAGCTCCTGGTTCCTCCATGTCCCTGGGGGGACTTGGGGACAGCATGAGCCAGGGTACAGTGGTATGCCCTGGCTGTAGTACCTGGCAGGGGGTGATGGAGACATATTAAAAGCTGGTATCAGGACACTTTCCCAGAGCCCAGGAGGAAAAAGGAAAGGAAAAATTCCAGGGGGATATAAAGCAGTGGGAAACATCCATGAGTGACAGGAGACGTGCAGGGAAATTAACCCATCATCATCCCCAGTCCGTGCTGGGGCTGGGACTGAGCTCTGCCCAGGTTCCATGGCTTGTCCCACCATGGGCTGTTGGAAGCCACACCGTGCTCCGCAGGAAACGCCACTTCCTTTGCCGGCCAGAGCGCTGCGTCCTGCCCTGCCCGGCTCCCTCCCTTCCTGCCTGGGCACCAGGCCCAGACAGCTCCAGAGCAGGCAGGCTGCTCTTGGGGCTTCCAGCCTGGAGAATATCCCCCTGGGCAGAGGGAGCAGGGCTCAAGGGTGCCTGCACCCCTCCACAGAGAAGGGCTGGAGCACCCATGGGTGAGACTTGCCAGGGGTACCTGTGCTGGGGGATGATTTACAGCACCCTCAGCCTTTGCCCTGTTCCCAGGAGCTCTAGAAATCCCTGCCCTGTTCAGGAACTGCAGCATTTATAGCAGGCTGACACCTTCCCTAGCTGGGCTGTAAATCCTGGTGCAAGGCAGAGGTTCCGCTGGTCTGCAGCCAGTGCCCAGCTCTGCTCCACCAGGCTGACAAAGCAGCTCCTGGGATGCTGGGTGAGACCCACAATGGAGCATTACCCAGGGCATGGGAGGGGAGATGGGGTATGAGCAAAGCCCACCATCCCTGCACTCCCCACATCCCTATGGTTGGCTTCCCACCTTCCTAAACCATACAGACACAGACATGGAGCCACATTGCTAGGAGTAAAATGATTTATTTTTTATGGAGGGCTGGATCCTACAGGGCTGAGCAGCACGTTGGGCACGGGAGGCTGCAAGGGGCTCTCTCTGGTGCCTCCTGGTGTGTTTGGGCACCTCGAACACCTCACACTCACCTGTGCACAGTCCCTGCACACACTTGTACATAGAGCAGCACACCTGCACTGGCTGTTTCAAATCCCCAAGCCACAGTGGGATGTGGGGCGGGCAGCAGGCAGGGCCATGCCAGACTCCCTCTGCCAAGCCCAGGGCACTCCATGGGCTCTATGTGACAGCCCCTGCAGACCACACAGGCAGGGCCAGCCCTGTTTCATGTCCCCAGACCCTGTTCTTTGTAGGCTGGGGAGTAAAAGGTCCATGCTAGATGCCATCTGGCTTCAGCAAGAGAGGATGGAGGCTCTTGTCAGTGGGTCTGGCACACACAGTACTGTCACCTGCTCCCCAAAACCAGCCCCCACCTCCTCTCCATGTCCTTCCTTGGGCATTGACAACCCACATGTCTCTAGACACCACCAGCCTGAGACAGGGTCCCCAGGGCCTGAAGCACCCTCAGATCCCCTGCCCAGCTGCAGCACATGGCAAGGGATGAGTGCAATGGTAGCGCTGGGGAAGGGATGGGTATTTGGGGGTGCAGCTTTGCAGACAGCCACTATAAGCCATGGCAGGACAGCTCATGCCTCTCCTGCTCCA